TAAGATCAGCGGTTCGAAACTACCAGCCACTCCGCGGGAGAAAGATAAGGCTTTCTACTCCCGTAAAGATTTACACCCTCGGAAACCCTGTACAAGGTCGCTATGGGTCGGAACTGACTCAACGGCACTTAACAACAACAACATTAATCCTTTGTTGTTAAGTGTCATCCAGTTGGTTCTGACTCATAGCAACCCTGTGTAACGTTTCTGAGAAGTAGCTGGTGAGCCTGAACTTCAACTTTGCAGTTCAAACTGATCTTACAGTCCAGCACATTAACCCAAAGCATCACACAAGGACTCCAATCTGGTGGACTGGTTTATTTTGTTCCTTTTGCTGCTGATGAGTACATTCTAATAGCTGTATTCACAGAGCCACTCCCAAAATTTTAAGACCCTGTTGTTAAGTGCTGTCAAGTTAGTTCCGACTCATAACGACCCAGTATAGAGCATCCAAGTAGCAGAGCTAGTAGGTTTGAACCACTGACCTTGTATTAAGCATCCAGTGCTTGCCCTACAGCACCCACACCAGGACTCCTTTAACACCCTAGACACTATGTAACTAGTTACCAAACAAGGGTGTAGCATAGTATCTTTATAAACTATAGTATACCAATTGACTAAACTGTCCCATGAGACTATGGCCTAAACCTTTTAATTCAGTAAGCCAATCCTGCAGTTGTTTGGGTATGTCTAGGAAGGCAACATAACTTTGCCCCATGTAATTTATTAAATATTTGGATTGGATGTATGAGAAGGCTTTAAAAAGTTCATGGAAAATGGAATTAAAAGATAATGGAATTTCTCCACTAACTTTCTGGAGTCCCCTTGTATATGCAGCACACACAAACATGTATATAACAAGGGGACTTCAAAAAATTCATGGGAAAATAGAATTAAAAGGTAAATGTGTATATATATATATATATACATGCTTTTTTTTCCCAACATACGCTCCATCCAGGTCAAGATACTTGTTAAATAATGCTATCAGCCATTTAGACCATCCCTAAAGAATGGAAGTTAGCCATGCCAATGCAGTCTTTTTCATATTATTAACTGGGAAAAAAGGGGTGGTGGTGGTGGTGGAGAGTGCTTTTTATAGATTTTTTTAATATTAGGAAACAAAAAGAAGTCAGAAGAAGCCAAGCCATGACTGTAAGCCCAATAATTTCCCATCAAAACTCTCACTAAACTGTCCTTGTCTGATGAGGGGAATGAGAAGAACATTGCTGTGGTGGAGAAGGATGCTCTGGCGAAGCGTTCCTGAGTGTTTTTCTCTTGAAGCTTTCGCTAACTCTCTTAAAATACTCTCATAATAAGCAAATGTTACTGCTCTTTGGCCCTCTAGAAAGTCATCAAACAAAATGTCTGAGCATCTCAAAAATTTGTTGCTATGATCTCTGCTCTTGACTGGTTTGCTTTTGCTTTAACTAGACCCGTTGGCAGCCACTGTTTTCACTGTGCTTAGTCTTAGATCTTGCTGGTGTGGTGCAGTGAATTACCTGACATGGCTCTACTAGCTAGTCTTTGAAACTCCCATCAAATGTCTGGGTGTTGATGTTGCCTTTGAGTCAGTTTAGACTCAGCAACCTGGTACAGAGCTTCCAAGGAGTGACTGTTGGGTTTGAATCATAAACCTTGCAGTTAGCAATGCAGTGCTTATCCTACAATGCCATACCAGGACTCCATATTAATTGGGCGGTACCATGCAAATTGTTGTTGTTGTTAGGTGCTGTCAAGTTGGTTCTGACTCATAGCAACCCTACGCACAACAGGGTGAAACACAGTTCGTGATACTTCCAATGTTCTGCAATATCATAATTCAAATGCATCAATTCTACTACAGTCTTCCTTATTCCCCGTGCCATCCTCACAATTGTTGTTATGTTTGAGTCCACTGTTGTTGTCACTGTGTCAATCCATCTCAGTTGGTATCCTCCTCTTTTTTTGTTGAACCTCCACTTTTCCAAGCATGAGCGCCTTTTCCAAGGACTGGTACCTCTTAATAACATGTCCAAAGTATAAGAGGTGAAGTGTTGCCATTTTCCCTTCTAAGAAACACTCTAAGTGTAATTGTTTGTTCTTCTGGCAGTTCACGATACTTTCAATGTTCTGCAACATCATAATTCAAATGCATCAATTCTACTACAGTCTTCTTTATTCCCTCTACAACTTGAAGATTCACA